CTTGATTGAAACCATCAAGTGCTAAAAACGGACGGAAGGCCATAGAAGGAAGGAAATTTTGTTCTGAGACCATGCAGGTAAGTTCAAAAAAATAAAGGCCATAAAGGAAGAGGTATTTTTTCCAGGACCATACATGTCAAAAGCTCATAAAAATGATTATGCAGGAGATGGTTATCGACGAATATAAAATAATAATAATAATAATAATAATAACTTTTTTACTATGGTTGAGGAGGCGTCAGGAAGCGTTAGATGTGTCTATGATTGGTGGGCCCATATGAGGGAAGGCGTTGAGATGCGTCAATGAGGGAGGCATCGAGAGGCGTTAGATGTGTCTATGGTCGGTGGACCCATATGCGCCGTAACGCTTCCCAACGCCTGAGGATTAGAACTTCAAATAAAAGAGTGACAATTTCTTTTTCGTAGTTAGTTTTTTTCATCAAGGGTAAAACGGTAAATCTATAATTATAAAAATAATGTTTTGAGTAGTTTAGTTGGGAGGTATGATTTAAGTACTGTAGTTAAATGAATATTTGCTTTTAAAAAAAAGATGAATATTTTCATCTTTTAGGGTTCATTCGCCGCCATCTCTGTGTTCTCCGTCTTTATGCCGCCGCCGTTGATCTGTCCACGGCAGGACCTCGACGCGCAGCGCCGCTCCTGCATCGTCTCCGTCGAGATCCGGGCCCTGACCCCTTCTCACTAGCCCTCAGCTCCCCAAACGAGCACGTGGAGGCTGCGGCGGCGACTGCCCTCCGGGTCGCAGCGGCGGCGGCCGTCCCCGCTGCCCCGGGAGGTGCGGGGTGGCGAGGTGCGCGCGTCCACGGATGCGGCGGTCCCTGGTGGCGAAGCTGGAGGGCGTGCTCGGCATGCCGGTGCCCACCACCAATTGCGCGGCGCGGATAGGCTCGGTCACGCGTGGGTCGCGTGGACGCGGGCTAAGTCGAACGGTGGGGAGCGCGGTCACCTGGCCGGCTCGAAAGCCTGGCCAGAGCGGAGGGGAGGGACGGAGGAGAGGGATGGAGCTGATGAGTGGGGCCGCTGAGGCAGTGAAGTCCAATCGACGACCCGCGGCTACCGGCTCTGGGTACACGGCGCAGTCGCTGAACGACAACATCCTTCGGCCCGTCTTCTCCCGCCTGGACGGCCACTTCGACCTGGCCCGCTGCTCTGCCGTGTGCGGCTCATGGTGAGCTGCTCCTCCTCCTCCCTCTTTCCCTTTCGCAGTTGTCCTCCTGGTTGCTACAATCAGCCGGTCCCTTCGTTATACGATAACTTGTTTCGTTCCGTGGCTAATCTTAGTAGTTAGTTCATCCATGATTTTGGCTGTAAATCTGTGCCTGTTGTTGGTGAACTCATTCGGGGGTTTCTGTTCTACACCAGCTCTATCTTCTTTGGAGAGGGAAAAAAGACTAATTTTTATGGTAGAAAGGTAACAATTTCACCAGGAAGCTGGACGGAGATTTGTTATTTTAGTGGAATTATTTGCAACTCACCATGCTGGACTATTTTCTATCTGTGTTTTATGTGCTATTATGATGCACCCTATTTGCTGCAAGAGAACACCTGAACCATTAGATTGGGTCTCTTGTGCTACAAAGTAGATCATGCACCTGCAAGTGCATGATTTTGAGTCACTGCATCACAGATGGAGTAGGCGTAGCCATGGGCTTGTAGCTCTCCGAAATGCATTTTGGTCTCACCATTTATTTCTGATCCTGATCTGAACCATGATACCTTGATGAGGCTAACTTGTGCTATGTATTAATAAGGATGTATGTGCATAGTCTACAACTCTTTTAAGTCAAATTTTGTTATGTATTAATTCGGGTTTTTTTTTACTTGTTGCTATTCATTGTCATTTCTTTTTTCAGATGTTAATGATTTAATACTTTTAACCAACGTTACTTTAACTCTAAATATTAACAAATAGTTTATATGCATGATAGTTCTAACACAACCAAGAAAAACTGCAGATACGGAGTATATGACTACCTGAGTATTGATGCTTGTTTGGGTCTGTATTGTTTATCCTTACGAATACTTTGGACATAAACATTTGCTCCTCTTAATCTCAACCATGCGCTGAATTCAATTTGTAATGCCCATTCATCTCTCCACCTACAACAACGCATGTACGATTTGTTTGTTTCGCTGCTTGTTATAGCTAAAGTAGAACGAAATCAAGAAGCCGATAAAATCTAACACCTCTCTCTCTCTCTCTCTCTCTCTGATGTTACAAGTATATCATTGCAATTTTTGGTGAATTCAATCCATTCGGGACTCATGTAACAGCCATGTTTGCATAGAAACGAAATGTTGCGAACGTATGTTTTTCGGAAAGTTAAAAACATTTTATAACAAAATAATAATATTAATAATAATATAAAAAAAATATGTTGGCAGGAGGGGGATATGTTTTCTGTAAAGTTAAAAAAAATTGTATAACAAAATAAAAAGAAGTTGGCAGGAGAGGGCCATCATCGGCTTCCGAGAGAGCTCTCTCTCCACAATTTCTTGCCTCAACTCTATGGATGAAAACGGTACGGATATTTATTCGATCGTCCGTTCGACCGAACAAATATGAATACTTATCTGGATAGTTACTCGGATATCCGTTTTTTTTTTCGGATACGGATACTAAAACGGATATCTTAGGCGGATATCAAATACGGATGTAATATCATCGATATCCGGCGGATATCGGATAATCCGGATAAGTATCGGATATATCCGGATATTTAAAAACGGATATTATCCGGATATTTATTCAAAATTTAAAAATCACAAATTTGAACCATCCAAACTATCTCAAATGGAAAGTTGACCAAAACAACAATTGTAGATCTTGATGAGTTGAACAAACTTGGTATTCAAAACTTTTCAATTTGAAGTCATTTAGAGTTCATAATACTAGAGTCAAAGTGTTGTTTTTTCATTTGACCAAATATGACTTGGTCAAACTTGCTCAAATGAGACATTAAATGACCTCAGATGAAAAAACTCTGAATACCAAGTTTGATCATCTCAGCAAGATCTACAATTGTTACATAGCTCATTTTCCCATTTGAGAAAGTTTTATCAAACACTAGTCATAAATTCTTGAATCTCATATAGACTTTTCTGAAACTATGTCACACACTTGTGAAATTTGAACTATATTTTGTTCAAACTTTCTCAAATGAAAAAATGGCCTATATAAGGATTGTATATCTTGATGAGATGAACAAATTTGGTATTCAAAACTTTTCAATTTGAGACAATCTAGGGTTCCAAAAACTAGTTTGTAAACGTCGAAATTTAAAAATCACAAATTTGAACCGTCCAAACTATGTCAAATGGAAAGTTGACCAAAACAAAAATTGTAGATCTTGATGAGTTGAACAAACTTGGTATTCAAAACTTTTCAATTTGAAGTCATTTAGAGTTCATAATACTAGAGTCAAAGTGTTGTTTTTTCATTTGACCAAATTTGACTTGGTCAGACTTGCTCAAATGAGACACTAAATGACCTCAGATGAAAAAACTCTGAATACCAAGTTTGATCATCTCAACAAGATATACAATTGTTACATAGCTCATTTTCCCATTTGAGAAAGTTTTATCAAACACTAGTCACAAATTCTTGAATCTCATAGACTTTCTGAAACTATGTCACACACTTGTGAAATTTGAACTACATTTTGTTCAAACTTTCTCAAATGAAAAAATAGCCTATATAAGGATTGTAGATCTTGATGAGCTGAACAAACTTGGTATTCAAAACTTTTCAATTTGAGACAATCTAGGGTTCCGAAAACTAGTTTGTAAGCATCGAAATTTAAAAATCACAAATTTGAACCGTCCAAACTATCTCAAATGGAAAGTTGACCAAAACAAGAATTGTAGATCTTGATGAGTTGAACAAACTTGGTATTCAAAACTTTTCAATTTGAAGTCATTTAGAGTTCATAATACTAGAGTCAAAGTGTTGTTTTTTCATTTGACCAAATTTGACTTGGTCAAACTTGCTCAAATGAGACACTAAATGACCTCAGATGAAAAAACTCTGAATACCAAGTTTGATCATCTCAGCAAGATATACAATTGTTACATAGCTCATTTTCCCATTTGAGAAAGTTTTATCAAACACTAGTCACAAATTCTTAAATCTCATAGACTTTCTAAAACTATGTCACACACTTGTGAAATTTGAACTACATTTTGTTCAAACTTTCTCAAAATGAAAAAATGGCCTATATAAGGATTGTAGATCTTGAATCCATGACCATGACTCCATGAGACCCATGAAGCAATGTGCTTGGCTATTTCTACTCATCTTGCGAAGATTGGTGCTTATATGATGTTTGATGTATGATGTATCGTATCTTTATCTTATTTGTTGCTTTACTCTTTAGTCTTTCGGCTTAATCTAGATGGATTATGGACTCATAGAGTGGTGGTGTAATGGTTTGTACGTATGATATATATATATATATATATATATATATATATATATATATATATATATATATATATATATTGCTTTTACTCAATATCCGAATAGATATTTGTATCCGACCTTCTCCGAATCCGATTCATACCGTATTCGATACTCATTATTCGTATCCGTAACCGAGTCAATCCGTATTCGTATATGTATCCGAACGCTATCCGTGTCCGAATCCAAATCCGAACAGAAATATGAAAACAAATATAATATGAGTGATATCCGTTCGTATCCGATCCGTTTTCATCCCTACTCAACTCTCAGTTGATCCCGTACAGCGTTTTGCACGGTAGCCAATCCAGACCTCAGGTGACATTTGATCCGTGAGTGTCACGGGTCACGCCCCCATAGCCGAGAGTAGCCAATCCAGCCCTCATGGCCGAGAGGGCTCGTCATCAGAAACTCAAAGGCCCAAACCTGCCAACTCCTGCCCCCAAGATCTGGGTTACAAGCCTGCGCTACCAGGCCCGGCGAGAAGAGGGTTTGGGAGTCCTTTTTTTAATGCTAGCCGTCAATATCTTGGAGGAAAAGGCATCAGCTCATACCTGATCATAAGAAAGAATCCAACACGTGGCTTCCGCTTCTTAATCTCTCTCTTCAGCTCCTTCTCTTCGCGGAAACATTCACAACTACAAACAAATTTTCGAAGGGTGCTCTCATTGTGGCCATTGCCCCACTCACAACAGCTTTTCCTAACACTAGATCCTTTTCCCTTAGCGTATTTGTTATAAAACAGATATCCTTTTGTTTCACTACCAAATTTCTTCGTAACAATTTTATTGTACTCCAGCAAAGAATCAAGATCCGGCATTTCCTCCTGCATCAATCAACAACATTTGAGAAAAGTCTGAAGGAATAGTTTTGTAAAGGCACGATTTCATGCTACATTTTCACATACAAGTCATTCAGTTGCTCTATCTAGTAGCGCTGATGGTGAAGTGCCTAAATATAGCAAGCAAAGTACTGGAAAAAAAATTATAACTAGCAGCAGCAAGCATCCGTACGACAATGTCAAAAAATATTCAGGACTACAGATGTTAGCAAGTATATAAACAATAGAATAACAAAGCACAGCTCAAAGATAGTACACTAAGATAAAAGGGCAACCATTCTTTTGAAATAAAATAAAGCATGTCCAGAAAGAATAATATCAACAATACAATGCATCATTTTCAATGCATCATTTTCAAGTGAAGCCCTATCTGGGAGAGCGCCAGGTCTAGAATTCTCAGGCTATGGAGTTTGCAGGCTGAAATAAAGTGGTTTAAGCATTTAACAATAGCTAATCTAAATTAGGAAGTGAGATGTGCGAAATAACCATAATGCCCTTGGATGAATAAAATCAACAAAAATAGCTATTTTGGGTAGGCATCATGAAGCGTCAGCAAGCGTCAGGAAGCGTTTCCTACCATTATAAAAGGGCTCCAAGCATAATACCCTACTTTCCTCAATCCTCATAACCTACATAGGTGCCCACTTAGCAGCGACTAGGCATGCCCCTATCACCTACCAGGTATTGAATATTTTGATTTTTGTGGATTTAAGTAAGGGACTGCATGGTATTTCTACTGAGAGAGCATGTATAGCTGTTGGATGGTAAATCCTAGTGGCTAGTGAACATCACTAATTTCTTCCTAAAACTGCCTTGTTCCCCACTGGTACTACTGGTGCATAGGCAATACCAAATTTAAGCAAAGTAAAGCCGGATTGAAACCAAGATGAAACAGATCAGAAGGATATATTGGGCGGGCTTAATGTATAACCAGACTTGATCAGCATGATAAATTTGAGAAACCCCTCACTTCATACATTGCTCATTTCCAACCTCTGTTGCCTTAAGCTTCATTGATGACACTGTAGAACTAGTACTATTCCACTAATGGTCTTATATGGTCAGTCTCACAAATGGATGTTCTGAATATATTGGAGGTTGGCAATGGTTATTCTTATAGTCCAGCAATAAATTACATACCAACAGTCCAATGAACTAATAGGACTCAAAACCTATATTCGAAACTACTTTTTGTATTCATTCAACTAGAGGTATGAAAGCCCTCATAGGACATCAATTCGATTTGATTCAGCATGGCAAGAAAGCATGTACTTTCAGGTGCAAATGACTGGCCATTCTCAATTACTGGATAGCATGCATGTCTAAAGTGCAGTTTCACATGTGAAGCAGATAAGAAAATGCATGGATAACGTAGATTGAAACATAAACTTAAATAAATCAAAATTTACTGAAATTCCCCAATCCGCCGCCTCAGCAACAGCACACCAAAACGGCAACACCACAAGCGTATAGGGAGAGGGTACCTCGAGGCCGGCCTCAGACTGGAGGGCGGCGAGGGTGCGCGGGAACACGACGGAATCGAGGAAGGCGGCGACGGAGACCACCGCGGCCCTCGCGCTAGGGGCGGGGGCGGCAGCGGGGCAGGGCCACCGGCGCAATGCTGTGCGAGGGCGGTGGTGGCTAGAGGGAGGGAGAGAGCAGGGAGGCGGCGGTGGCTAGGGCGAGGGAGAGAGTGACGTGCGTGCCCCTCACGCTTGGGGCGGGGGCGGCGGCGGTGCAGGGCCGCTGGCGCGATGCTGTGCGAGGGCGGCGGCGGCTAGAGGGAGGTAGAGAGCAGGGCGGCGGCGGCTAGGGCGAGGGAGAGAGTGACGTGCGTGCCCCTTGCGCTGGGGGCGGGGGCGGCGGCAGGGCAGGTCCGTCGGCACGACGCTGTGCGATGCGAGTTCGGCGCGGTGGGGGTGGGGAGTGGGAGGGTTGTGCGCAATGACCATATTACCCTTCGACGAATAAAATCAACAAAAATGACTATTTTGGGTAGGCATCAGGAAGTGTCAGCAAGCGTTAGGAAGCATTTCCAACCATTGTAAAAGGGCTCTACTATTAATACATACTCTGTTTGTTTCCTTCTTATAGAGTTTCTTTTGAGCTCATTCGACGTCCTAAAATCAAACTTACAACATATTCGTCTTTTCTTTCCTTCTCTCTAAGAAGCTTACTTACATCCTCTCTATTATACTTGCTCTGAGGACAGCTCCAACAATAACTTAATTATGAGCTAGCTTTAAGCATTTTATTTTATATTTTAAAAGAGGAGAGGGAGAGAGCTATCTCTCGATCGAGAGCTAGTCTAGTGCACACATTTTAAGGGTTGTTTGGTTCCACCTCCTAAACTTTAGTCGCTGTCCCATTGAATGTTTGGATACATGCATGAAATATTAAATATAGACTATTTACGAAACTAAATGTACAGATTGAGACTGTTTTGCGAGACGAATTTTTTAAGTCTAATTAGTTCATGATTTGACAATGTTGTGCTACAGTAAACATGTGCTAATGACAGATTAATTAGGCTTAATAAATTTGTCTCGCGGATTACTGACGGATTCTGTAATTTTTTTTTATTAGTATCCGAACACCCTATGCAACACCTCATAAACTTTAGTCCCTGAATCAAACACCCCGTAAGGTCATACGAGGTTGTCTTATGGATGCAATCCTATTACGAGCTATTACTAAAAGTTAACATTATTAATATAGAAGTTATCTTAGAGCGATTTAACAAGCTTATACCGTTGAGGGTGCTCTTAGCATTCTCCGATCCTGCCGTGCCTATCACATCTGTCATGTTTCCGAAATTTGATTCATCACTTGCACCGTGCGGAAGGCAACCAAACAGGGCCTAGCAGGACTACACTGCTGCTACGTGGATCGGCGGGCGGTTCACGATTTGATAAATTTAATGACATGGCATAAAAATATTTTTTAGAATTTTTTATGAGATCTATGAATAGCACACTACCGTGGCAGACTATTGGTGTATTGAAACTCATTTCCCAATATAAACAGTGTATATACGGAATCGTCTCATGTTACGCACCGACACACGCTAAACAGATCGTTTCCGCGTTTCCGATCCAGTGGCGTATCCCAGCCGAGGAGACATACGTATATGTATATAGATAGAATAGAAAAACCTAACAGTAGCGCTCGTTTCTCCGCCGGTAACGCTGTTTACAGGTCGTCCATCCGTCTAGATGGACCTCGTATAAGTGGCTCGCTCGCGCCGCTCCTGCCCACGTCGCCTGCTCGCTCAGCGCGCTGCAGGTCTCTGCTCCGAGATGGACCCCGCCCTTGCTCACGTCGCATGGCCCTACCCGCGTCCCCATCGCCTGCGGGGACTCACGCCTCCCATCACGGCCGAGCTCCATCCGCCTAACCCTGCCTCGGTCGAGGTCCGTGCCGCCGATGAGCTCCACACTGGCGACCTCTGCGTCACTCCGCAGCATCGAGCTCCGCGACGACGAGCCTCCATTCGTCCAAACATCAAGCTGATGCCACGCTGAAAGTGCATATTGCAATAGTATGTTTCAAGTATTTCCGATATTTCAGAAGTATGCTGCAATTGTTGTATATCGATGTTGCAAAAGTTGATTGGGATGTTGCACATGTTGTACTGACTATACACATATGTTTCTAGTGTATGTTCTCAATATTTCATCTGTTCTAGACGAATGTTGAAAGTGTTTTATCTGGATGTTGCAAAAGTAGATCTAGATGTTGTATATACATGCATGTTGTAAGCATATGTTTCAGGTGTTTTCAGGTGTTTCGTATGCATGTTTGCGAGTGTTTCATCTTGATGTTGTATATGTTTGCAATGGTTTTCAAATGTTTTTCAGGCGTTTTCACAAGTGTTTGAGACCCTTGTTTTAAGTATTTCATTTGTCTTCTTTTGTATGTTGCAGCTATTGCATATGTATGTTTCAAAGTAGATCTGATGTTGCACATAAGATGCGTGTAGGAAGTACGTGGCTGACGGCGCGGACAACGTTTGGGATGGCATGGGCGACGTTCGGGATGGCGCGGGCCCACTGCTGGTGCGCTCCCTCGCGAGCACGACGCGCTATGCGTTTGTTTGCTCCCTCTGCGCGGCAGCATCTAGACGCTAGCAAGTGTTCCATTCCGATCGGGAGGGTCTATGATCAAACTAATATGACTGAGAGATAATAAAGCTCAGGTACTGACTCGTTTATAACTATAAATCAAATATACATCGGGAGTAAGTAGCGTATTGTTTCTGAATTTTAATCCATAGTATACAGATTACAGATTTAGGTCGCTTACACTTGGACGAGGTCATTCCGCTGCAGGAGCTGTGCTGCTGCTGCTTCTTCTTCTTCTTTTGACAACAACTGCTTTTACTATTAAACGTTAAAGCATAGTATATTAGTGTGAGAAAAGAATTCCCAGATTATAAAGCACAGGCAAGTAAAATCTACTGCTGATCTGCTTTCATAGACATAGGTAATGCTTCCGTCGGGAGCGCGGGCCCATCGGGGCCATAGGGCCCACGAGAAGTGGCCAAGGGTCCTCGTTCTCGCACTCCGATAGTAGTCTTAAGCCGTAGATAGGATGGAGGCTTCAGCAGACTCGAGTGAATGGATAACCACTAATGCCAAATCTGAGAACCTGCTTCAATTGTCGTGGACGGTCAACCCGAGCGCTAGTAGCTACTTTACCACTTCCATGTCTACAGAAAATGAACCCATTAATTGTCTTCATCATGGTGTTCCTGATCGGATGGAAGGAACGAAACTCAAGAACGTTCGGTGGCCCTGCAACGATGACGAACGATCTCCTGGGTCGAATAATCAATGAAGCTGCTGATTGGTCTGCGGCAGGGTTCAGGCACCTGCAGTCGATGCTGGTGTTGCTCTGAGTTGTCGTTTTGTTGCTTAGTGGCGCAATTTGTCATGTAATATCGCCCTAACGTAATTTGTCCTGTACCCAGCTGTTGGTAACCCTCGTTACTGATACTGGGTTTGTAGATTGCCAACTCTATTCCATCTTAATAAAAAACGTGCTAAGGCACGGTCGCGAAAAAGATTACAGATTTAGTGATTTTTTCTTCAAACCCATGATTTTATGAAATCTCAATTTGGAATTGTTCAGAGACAAAGGCCTCGAATTATTCAAAGACAAAGACTTCCAGGCATTTATGATCTCCCGCTTCACCGTACCTCCTTTGCGAGGATCCTTCGTTCCCTCTCCTCTTCCTCTTCTTTTTTTTTTGCTACAATAACCATTTGATAATTTGGTGTACGATGCTTTTTGTGTCCTTTAGAAAACCATACAAATAGTATTATTTTTTGAACTATTATGTTACTTAGTACTTGTATATATTAAATTATGAGACAAATTTTGAAATGATTTACCGAATTACTAAATATGTTTTAGCAAATTGCACATGAAACTTTTGGTCGATCCGCCGCTGTTCCGATCCACGATGTTTTAATTTTTATATGCACACACAAATTGACTCGTGACGTGGCTAATCATCGTGATGCTTGCTTTAACGAAAAGTCTGAAAGGTTCAAACTTTTGTTGGCCTGTCAAAAAAACTCTAGAAAGTATCCTCGTCGGAGGCCGTGTGCGACCTCCAACAACCTCGGTGCATCTTGGGTCGTTGCATCGGGCACGGACGGCGGATGGACACCGCGGCCCACTCGAGTGGACAGGGCCAAGTGCGCCTCCCGCCACGCGGCCGTCATGCTTTCGTCACTGATCAGTTCGATGCTGATGCTGGAGAGGGCGATATCTCCCGGTCAAGCACGGCGTGTATCGATGTACTCAGGTCCATATTATAGCAATAAAAAACCTCAAGTACAAGTTTTTTTTCACTGACGTGAAAGCAGAATTAAAAGGGAGAGATGAAATATGAAATATCATAGAAACTGTTTTAATCTCAAGTGAGAAATCGATCTGACGCAGACTCGAACGCACGAAGAATCTGACATATTTTGCGTTGGAGTATGGAGGTTGCCGGCACGGGT